AGACCTTTAAATAGACCTGACCTAGCCAAACAAGAACAGAACTGTCTAAATCTCTGCCTGTTGTTCTGAATTCTCATATGGGGAATACATGAGAGTAATTTCTAGCCAAAATTGGAATGAAGTGAAAGAAACTCAATGAAGAAAATTGGAGAGAGTAAAAATGTCAGAAATGGCAGCTATTGCAGATTCATATCCTGCCTGACGGTTCTCCTCCAGTTTCTAGAACGCAAGCAGTTGGACAACTGTCTACACTTTGGCATTTACTGAAATAACTTCTTAAGTTTTACCACCGTGCATTGAGTTACTTTTGTAAACTTAAATATGTGTGAAATTAGTTACTAACTACAGTAATCAATTCATAAAAGTTAAGATGCTAAAGGACTAAAAGGTAAAATATGTTGTAACACTTCTCTAGTATAAGTTCATGAGTTACCAAATTTATTATGACAGAATATGATGGATATTCATGAATGAAAAATCATTAATGTAAATTTAAACTATTAAATATAGTCAAATATTTGAGAGCTTTTTAGAAATCACTTGCAGTTCGAGTTATTCGCTATCTATTGCATGTATTTTTACATGAGTTTCTAAAGCCAAGGCTTTTAACAGTGCTGAAATACAATGAACCTAATCACATATTTAGAGAGGCATTATCAAGTACTACAGCTGCTGTGATGATGGATGTGGTTTCTGTAAATATAAGCAGCTTTAGCCTGTCACTATTTGTGCCGGTCCCATAAAATGCTGAAGCATTAGAACATCTGGCTTTTCTTTCAAGAAGGTATAGCTAGTCCATAGAAACATTGAGTTGGGTAAGACGATTTTGATTATCAAGGCTGGTTTTTTTTAACTTAGTTATCAATGAAAGTTAGAACTCTCTAGATAAAGAAAGTTATGAGATAAGTAACATACAAAATATGGAGCACAGATTGTTTTAATCACAGAAGTGTTCAACTTATTTCAACAGATAAGGAAATACAGGGATTTTTGAATCTTTTTTTTTATAGCACATTGTTATAATACTTTACATATACACTGTACAATAATTCTTTTGTATCAGAAGACTTTCATACAGAAAAAAATAGTTCTATAAAACATTCCATAGTTCATCAGAAATGAACTTTGGGATAAAACATGGGCTCTCTTAATCTGTAGGTTAACAGAAATAGGGGACAAAATTCTGGCAATTCTTTTGTTCTTGTACATTCATATTGGTAAAAGGGAAACTCGTTATGCCTTAGCGGACACAGAGGAGCATTCTCAGCTTGAGCCTCTCTGTGCAAAGCATAACTTTACAGAGTAGCTACCTCCAGGAGATTTGTTCCTCATCGTGCGTGAGTGCCAATTCCACAGACTCGTACTTTAGCTGTACAGGACAATTTGTTTTTGTTTCTAAGCAACAGATACATTAGACGATGGCAGTTCAAAGCTGTGAGCGTGCAATGTTTGATGGAATTAGACTCCAAGGCTTTTTAGGAAGTGATCGTTTTAAGGTTCGCTGATATCAATAAACTCTTTCTCTGGGGGAGGACCACCTCGGTACCAGCTGCAAGTGCCATCACTTCTCTTGATACAGGCGTAGTGCTTGGCTTGGTGCCCGTATAGCTTTCTTTCTATCAGCCAGTCTGTCCAGAGGCACTCGTTTGGTGTAGTGATCGAACAGGGCACCATGTAGCAGGTAGTAATCTAAACGGGAAATAGTACATTAATTCAGTATATTGCAGGTTTCCTTGAAATGGTATTTATTCTCAAATAACATAAAATATACGGTGCGTAAAAAAAAACAACACCAGTTCCCATCAGTGAAAAGTGTCGGTGCCTGTAAGGTGAGCTCCACCGATAGACAGTGTTTTGTCCTATACTTACTTTGCAGCCACAGCCCATTTGATATCTCTGATTAAGGCTCTTCTTTTGAGACAAGGATAAATCATCCCATGGTTCAATGTAGTTGCATAAGTGGATGAGGACTTTACCATCACTTAAAATTTGACCTACAGCATGGAAAATAAGAAAAATAAGGCAAGCAAATAAAACTGTTTTCTAAATACTGAAATAAATTGCAAGAATACCTGAAGCTTTTAACTAATTGCACCAAATTAGTCTCATTTCACACTTTTTTCAATGAATGTAATTATAACCGAGAGAACTATTCTGCTGATTGCATGCTGAATAAATGTAAAAGATCTAAGGAGGGTATTTTTCAAAAGATGCTGACCACCTGGCAGCAAGGGATGAATGCAAATGCAGTAGTATGTTAAACTAGGTTTCAGGACTCTATAGAAAAATCTGTAATTACTTAGAACCCCAAATCTGCATACGCGTAGACGTGTGTTGTCTCATTAAGCTTGTTTGCATTCCTGGGAAAATCAGTACTGTTGGTTTTAAACAAATAATGCTGGCATACTTCTGATTTACTAATTACATAGTTACTGACCTTGGCTTCCTTTCAAACTTCTTTAAGAAATTTGGATGAAGGGTGGAAAACATGTAAGATCACAGTATAATTACAGCTTTACACAATTTGTACATTTCATTGTGTTTGTATGATTTAGTACATAAATATATTATTTTTTTAACAAGGGCTGGCATGTTTTTGCAAAGTCAATCTAAGCAGTTACTTCTGTTTTTACAGGTACATTAATTTTTGTTACATTTTTACCTGTCAAAAGATACTGTTTTTTGTTGTTAGCTTCTAGTTTCACTCCACAGAGTGAGGAATCAAAAGGGGTATAGACATACTGGACATCCTTCAGCTTTTCAAATCCTTTAAACATCTGAAAATTATCAGAAACAGAAAGTCAGTAGTGGAAAACAAACATGAAAAAACAGTTGCAAATGCCAGCTGAAAGAAATATATCTTAAAAATATCTCTTAAAAAAGGCTCTAAAGTCAGAACTTATACAAGAAAATACCAAGAATTAGACCCCTTCTCTACACTAAATGAAATGTGTCCATTATTTTTAGAAGAAAATTAGCTCTTCATTTTTTTAAAAAAATTATAGGGTTTTAAATGTGCTTTTTCAGTGGTTTTAATGGATCTTTAAAGCTTTCTCTTCCATTTATGTTCTGCTGCCATCTTCCATTTAAGGAGTAGTGCAGAGACAGCATTCATCAACAAGGTGCTGCAGCATTATATATATTAATATGGGAAATTTTGTCTTGACCAGTGTAATGGTGTGTATCTTCAAGGACATGAAACAGGGTAGGAAACTGAGCATCGTTCTTACATTCGGTTCTTAAAGCTAGCTGGTTTTCCACATCCAGAATTTTGCCCAACATGACCTTCTTAAATAACTGTTGGAAAATGGCATCCAGCTCTTAGATTTTATAGCCTGCAGCACCAAAATGGATAGGTTCAGGATCAAAGCCTGTGCAGTGTTCATACTGGCTGTTCCTTAACTAGCATTTCCAACTATGAAAATAATTCTTAAAGCAAGCCGTTAAAAGATCAAAACAAAATTAGTTGTGTCCGAATGTGAGAAGGAACCATAAGATGCTAATCAACCTCAGAATGCCTGTCATCACCTAATATGACATCACTGAAACCCCAACACTTCAGGGGCCCCATGTAGTGACATCGTGCTCTGTGTTGACAGCTGTGGACAATCGCAAGGCTCACAGCGCCCAAGGGCAGGCTCTCCCAGTTGCAGCTGGCGTCACTGGAAAATGTGTTCGTGTTACTCAAGTTCTCTCTGGAGATTTAAATGGTACAGGGGCACTAGAAAATATACTGTAATATGTTGATTTTTCTGAAGCCTTGTTTATGGAATAAAAAAGCCAAAGTTGTCATCGGGCTTCTGATCCAAAAATATTAGATGTGAATTTGAAATACTTAGTAGAAAAAACACACACACCAAAACAAAACAAGAAACAAACTGGTATCCTGTACAAAGCAGCAGTGAAAATGATAGAAAACACATATAATGATGATGAAAATGTGTCTGATTTTATTGAATAGAAATAGTCTGGTATGCCAGCCCCATGTAAAAGTTCTCAGACAGATGGCCACGTGAGGAAGCAGGAGTTGGCTGGATGCGTGTTGTGGAGCATCTGCCTGGTTGCTAGCCCAGACGCTTAAATCTGCCTTGTTCAGGGTGTGGGTACTAGGCGTAGATGTCTAGTACATAGTAACTACGTGACCTGTGCAGGTATCCTCTGATGTGAGTTCTCTCTGCATTCAGAAACCTGTGGTTGGGCTACAATGTGTAGTAGGGTACAACTTTTAATATCTCATCACCTGATCTAAATTAACTTGAGGCTTTATGCAGACAACACAAATTGATTTAGCTATTAAAAAAAAAAAAGAAGAGAGAAATATCCATGGCAACTGATAATGGAGATCTAGTTAATATTTAAATGCGTTTGGTGTTTATTTTGTTGGGGTTTTTTTGAAATTACAGTCTGACCGGGTTTTGACCTAGATATTTGTTAAAGCATTTCTTAAGATTATAATCTTCGGTTTAACTCAGTAAATAATATTTGATCTTCTCAATCATATTCTCTCATCTCCTAAAAGTGTGGATACTTCCACACTGTAAAGGGATAAGATGGCTTGATTCCATTCTGCCTTATGGTATGGCCCATTTACATTGAGGATCTGGGAGGACTCTGCTGAGGCAGGGCAGTAGGGTGAGGGAGCGGGGGAATAGCGAGAGGTGAGCCTGATGCTAAAGTCTGTGTTGGTGCTGCCCGCGCCTTCTGACGGATGTAACTGAGAGCAGCACTCAGCTATTGCTTTAACATTTTAGAATACTTTTTTCAAAGACTATTTGTATTACTTTCATTGTCTCAGGCATGTTCTTGTTATAATAATTCCATTCTTCCGTCTTTGTTATTCTCTAGGCCTTTTCAACTGTAACATGGCTTATTTTCATAGCTTTATATAGTGATTAATATCTAGCTTTAAAACGGCATGCATTGCTGTAAAGCGTAGATACCGTTGTATTTAGCTCAAATGCCTCCTTGTATTCCCACTGTGAGGGGAGCCCACCCTCTCATAAAAGAAGTCTGATTCTTTCCGTGGGTTTCTACCCATACCGCTTGTGTGGAAAATACTTAGATATTTTGCTTATTCTAGTTTAGTTTGGTAAAATGTGTTGATTTCACGTATGACAGTAATATCTTGAGCCTTACTTCACTACTCTGATAATATAGGACAGTGTCACAAAAGCTAATGGCACTGTTTTAATATTTAGCTGCCTCCTCAGGGTAAGTGTGGATGACCCAGTCAATAACAATATTATGAAGACAAATATTCAATTGCATATAAATCACGTATTTTCTTCTCTCTTTAGTATAATGCTGTAAATATTGCAATAAAAGAGCAGTAATTGAAAAAACATATGGTTTCTTAACATGCCAAGCCATATATATAAGATGAATGAACCCCATCATTATTCTTTTTTTTTTTTATTTCTGAAAATGAACAGCAAAATCATAGTTAATATTTTGCCCCCAAAAACCAATGTTTTAATGCTATGCCTGATGCACTGGATTTAAACTAACAGAAATACAGTTTTTCTAACAGGAGTAGCATAAACCAGCCACACTAATGTTACATGTCAAACAGCCCAGAGTAATATAAAAGAGAAACAGCAGCATTGTGCTGAATTTACAGTTGCAGTAAAATGTGACCTCTATAGATTCCGTGTTTCTTTTCCAAGAGGGGAGATGAATTGCTGAGAGAAGTGCGAATACGTGTGTGGCTTGAAAAGTATTCACCAAAACTAATACTGAGTTGATAATGGTGTTTTAGTTTGTTAGATCCTACAGCTCAAAAGAGATGACTAGAGAGCCTATTCTTACTTTCTATGTTATATAAAGTGAATTCTTAGCATGTCCCCCCAAGCCAGTGAATGTTTGTGCACAGGGTTGGCCAGAACCACGTGATCAGTGCCATCTGACGTTAAAAGGACTGTCAGTTCATCCTAACTGCAGGTCATCCAGTTTGCAATATGAGAAATCGGTCTGTAAGCACTCAAGAGAAGAAAGACCGTACTAGTGGAAAGGTAATATTCCCCCATTTGATGTGCGCTGTTGATTTAGATTCTGTTAAATGTTATCGTCTGAGGGAAATAGTAAGAAATAGTGATATCAAGTTATTGCTCTGGACAACCAAGTTCTCAGTTATTCAGGAAACTGAGATACACAAATGATGTCACGAGGCTCAGTTTGAGGATCTCTGACAAGCTATTAATATGATGTTATTAGTCTGTGATTTGTCCTGCTCTATTGAGGTTACATCACTTTCTGTCAGTTCCTGTATGATTTACCAGGCACAGCCAAAGTTGCCTTTCTGGATTTATTTCAGTGCCACACTGAGTTTACTACCCGTCCCACAAAAGATTTTGGCAGTTTACGGAAGCGCCTGTAGGCTTGCCCACTCTGTGTGCTGGAGATTTCAAAGAAAAATCCTTCCATTGAGTTTGTTAGAGAGGTCCCAAGGCAGCTGAGCAGCCTGCATGCCAGGGTGGAAGCCTCAGCTCCTGCCTCTTCTTAATGCACTTCTGGCCAGAAGTAAGAATTTGACAAGTGGGACTATTATGACCCATTTGTCTTTAGTCTAAGCTTGTATGCAATGATATAGAGCATCTTTTCTTAGAGAATAAATCTCTCCGGTTTGTCCAGTCCTAGCTGACTTGCCTTCTGCAGCTTAGTGGAATTAAATTAAGATCTCTTACCGATGCCTGAGTTTTGAATAGGCCCCCACTTACAAAAATTTAGGAGAAACTCCAAAGCAGCTCCAATAAATGAACGTATTTCAGGGATTTCACTGTGCTTTTACTGAAGAACGGGATTGTAGATTGAAAATAATAACACAGACTAGACTTCTCATTCTTTTTTGTGCTGAAGTGTAAGATGATTTGCATTTCTGTGAAGTTACTGAAGTGCTGCAGGGTAGCAACCCAAACTTAAAGTGCTAATGGGAGGAAAGAGAATTGCTCTGGTGTTTATATACTTATTTCTGTAAAGAAACATTTGAAAATATCCTTAGTAGTTTATGAATCATAGACAGAAAGTGGCAGATGGTGAAGAGTTTTGGGATTTGTTTTAGCGTGGCAAAAAGAATGGGCTTGTTGAAATAGCTATAAAACCTTAACAGAAGTCATGTGTGATAACTATCCTTGTGAATATTTTGACGTATTCTTCTTTACCATAATTTTTTCTTAGTAAAACTCTTGTGAAGTTATCTACTGATACAATTTGAAGGATTGAATTTTTTTTGAAAGCATGTAGCTGTTCATAATGACCTACTTAGGTGTTTCTAGTAAATATAATAATAAAAGTCAATACAAATAATACAAAATAATATTCCATGAAAAATGAGAGATAAAACCACCTAGAAAACTTAAAACAGACCAAACAAAAATCCCCACAGTAACACATTTTAATTGCAAGAGCCTACCTATCTTTTGTGTATTCCAGAAACAGGTAGATCATGATCTTTTTCACATCAGTGAGAGTTTGATGATGACTTGAATGGGCTCAAGATGTCTTCTTAAAGTACGTTAATGAATATGTCTCCTTATTGGAGCCGAACAAATAATGGAAAAATCCCGTAAGATTCAGAATTATTGTATTTTTGGCTGCTCCCACGTGGTGTTTGCTTTCCCAGCAACATTCATACAAATTAATTTTTTTTTCTGGGGAGATCAGGGAAGGTCTCCTGTTTCTGCAAATATCCCTATGCACTTATGAACAAAGGTCCTTGCTATTGCAGCTGGAAATGCTTTACTCTGTTTATAAAGTTTACATCATCCAGTTGGGGAGTTGCGATACCATAATTCAACGTAGGTGACCAAGTCTCCGCCAGAAACAGCACGTGTATTGAACACCATTCATAGATTGAAGTATGTTTTCATAACGACTTCATAAAGCAATTGTGAATACCAAAAATTTTCATCAAAATATATTTAGCAAGCAACTCATGAATGTTGGAACAGTTTTTTCTTTTTTCTCTTTTTTTATCCCTACTTTGATTTATTCTGCGCAGTTCACCTGGGTCTAACCATGGAGGCAGCTGGAGCCTTTTCCAGCTTAAAGCATTTAGGGCCTAAATTGTAGTCATATACATAGGTTATCGGCATTGAACTTCAAAATAGCTAAGTGATTCCATGTACCTTTATTTGTTTGATTTCATACCGGATCATTTTGTGGGTATCAAGAGGATCATCACTGGCAGGAACCACCTTTTCACTGGATATTTTTGCTCGAATCACTGTAATAGAGAAAAAAAAATTAAATGCAAATAAGCATATGCCTAATTTTACAAGCAATAGCAAAAAGTATATTGATAGATTTTAACATTGTTTTTATACTTCAGCTAGAAGTAGATTTTAAGGCTTGTTACTATAAGAACATTAGATTGAGTTAACTCCTGAAAATAAAAATAAGTGGGCTGCCTATGATATAAATCTGAATTTCCATGAATCTGGAAATCTGAATTAAGTTACCATTAGTTTTGACAAAAACTGTCGATCAAAATCTTTGTTAGACTTGAATCCCCTAAAATTTTATAAAACACCCATCATTATAATCAGAGAGCAAAGGAAAGGGACACTTCTGTTGATGACAGAAGAGTTGTTCATCAATTCAATAGACTTGAAATGAACGCTTCGAAAGACTGTGTCAGGCAAGATTAAAGCATCAATTTTGTGCATGAAATCAGAAGACAAGAGAATAGTCTTTCATTCACTTTTCTGAGACCACAGTTTTTTGCATTTTTCTTAACACACCACGTCTTAGTTGTGTAAACCTGTATAAATTAATTACTCCTCCTTTTGACACATTTTATTTATTTCCTATTCTTTAAACGAGGAAAGTATGAGATTTTATGAAAGAAGTGGTTTATTTTCCTATCCGTTTGAGGCATCTCTCCTGTATATGCTGTTTAAGATATACCAGGACTATTAGGTACAGAGAATGACAGGATTATAAGAATGCAGTATATGGCCAAAATTTCTCTGGGGACTTCTATGCCCCGAAAGTATTTAGAGTCTTGTTTTTGTTCGGTTCTGCATGGCTGCTATTACAGCTCCTCTGCAGACGTAGTGCTTGTTAGAACAAACAATCTGTATCTGCACGGAGGGATACTGGCAAAGGCCGGAGCAATCAACAGTCGAACCCCACTTCAACTGTAAATCCAGTTCGCCATTGGGCAGAAATGGATCTGTGCGAGGAAAGTATTCTTCAGTATGAGGGCAACTCTCAGACACCTTCTTTTTTATTTTGTTTTATTTTTCATGATGGAAGGAACCATTCTGTCAAAATTCGTATGAAACAGGCATATGACGTTTCATAGAGTAAGTTAGGTTCAAAGGAGCCTCTGAAGGTCTAGTCCAACCTCTTGCTCAACTTGACTCAGGATGCTGAGGCCTGTGTCCAGCTGAGTTTTGAGTATCTCTGAGGGTGGAGATTCTGTGGCCTCCCTCAGCCCCTGTTCCAGAGTTTGACCACTCTTACAGTGAAATCCTCATACTTCCCGTTCACTGAAAAAAATACTGAGCTGATGCAGAGAAAGATCTTTTGGCATCAAAATCATGCTTTTCCCAAAAAGACGTTTCTTTGATACGTTGGCCTCTAAACATCATATCTAAAGAAAAGGAATAAGAAACTCAGATGGTACTTTTCCTTACAGCCAAGTAGAGGTCAGTCCCATCTAATAATGGGCAATTCTCATTTCCTCGCTTATTAGCAGAGCAAACTAGATGTAGTAATCAACATGATGCAGATGCCTACAGCTTCAAAGCTTGAGTCCTCTATCTTTTGGCACACTGCTCCCTCCTCTCAAGCCGTCGAAACTCTTTTAAAGGAGCATTTCAGTTGCATGTGTTGGATTGGAAGGAAAGAGTTCTTTTAAGTATGAACAGCAAATTCCTCATTTCAAATGGTAAGTGGCAGCATCTCTTTAATCATCTGCAGATGTGTTATGTTCCCACAAATTAACAGTACTTCTTAAGTGCTTTGATCTAATTCCAGATAAAAAGTGTTGTGGATTGTGTGTGCTATACTGCTGGAAAGGTCAAATTAGAATCATGTTGTTTTGGTTTGCGTTGCTTTCCTTTGCATCATTACTTCCTAAAAAAAAGGTTTTCTCATTAAAGAGTTCATTCAATATAGAAGGTAAGGGGTGAGACGAGAGTTAGGTGCTAGCTCCATTGTTTTCTTAAGGCCATCACATGGTTTATATGCAGGAAATGTTTTCCTGCCTACTCAATGCAAACATTTGTAGAATAATTAAAACTACTTTTCCCCTTGTGTTTAATGTTGAAACATTACTCATTTTCATATTTTTATTAAATTCTGCTTGTTAGCACTGAGAGGAACATTACAGATGATCAATGATTGCTCAGAGGGCCTCCATGGAGTTATGCAAGGCTGAAAGTATAACATTTTGGGATTTGTCATTAAGAGATCTTTTTCTGGGTGTGTAGAAGAAAATGAAAACGATTTTTATGCTCTGTGTGTTTCGTTCATTTGTTTGTATAAGAGAAAGCTTCCAGATGGCGAAGGAAGACCAAATTGAGATTTTTTTTTATTTTATTTTTTTAACAACAAGAAAGTTTTATTGTTACAGGATGTCTAAATCTTTAGTTATTTGGGTTTTACTTTTCTGTTCTCCTGAAACCAGATTCAAATGCACACAGATCTTTTTGGGCCTTTTAATCCATCTTGTTTTTCTTTTTTTTCCATGCTCTATTATTTTTTTTCAATCAGTGTCGTCTAGCTGTCTCCTAAAACCTCTTATTCATGTGGTTGCTTCTGTTTTTAACCACAAGCACTTCCTGATGTCGCATTCCTGGGCCGAGCCATCTCGCTCTCTTCGGCCGTGGTTCAGAGGGTGGTTAGAACTTCAGATTCCTCCTAGTCTGCACTTCTTTTCAAGAAATGGTTTCAAGTATAGCATGGCTGGCTTGGTTTCTCCTCTCTTTGACTGAGAACAACCTCTGGTTGTTTAGTGCAATAATGGCATTTTAGCTGTCAGGCAGTTATTGGTTCCTTATGAGGAATTTGCATATATGAAATACATATGCATAGCCTTCATATTCCAACACCAGTAATTCAGTCTGCCTCAAATTCGTCCTGCGTTAAAAATATATACTGTTTTTCAAAAGACATTCACTCTAATCTTTCAGTAGTGGGATGTAGCATTTCTGTGGAACTTGCATTTTGTAACTCATGGTACTTTTATAAAATTTAAACTTTTATCCCCACTTTGTAGCTTCATAACTCAGCTTGGCTATTGCACATTCATTATCAGAAATGTGTTAAGAACAGTTTCATTCCTTGTTTCCTGAAGAATAATAAGCATCTCCCATTTCTACAACACAAGGTAATTTTGAACTGGGTAAAGGGCAGAACTTACTGAGTATAACATCGGATATATTTGTGTTTATACAGTCAGGAGAAAAGTGTTAAGTTTTATACAATACAAAAGTGTTTATATACAATAAGAGTAGAAAGTTAGGCATTAACTGCATCTTTCCCAAACCTGGGTGAATTCTCTCTGAAATTAGCTTCACTAATTATTGATCTGTAAATAAACTGTACTGTCACCTTGTGTATTACAGATTTTTATGATCATGAGGACCTACTTATACTAGGGGCTTTTTTAAAAAGAAATTCACTGCTATTAGATTAATTTTACTGCACTACAATGACATATGCAATGGAATATGACCATCTTTTTCACAGAAGAGGAGCCACAAAGAATTGAGCAGTATACTGAAGGCCCCCTAACAAGTCATAGATACAGGTGGAATTAGAATAAAGTAAATCCTTGCGCCTCGTCCACTGAAATACCTGTGTTCCCTAAAAGTAGTATCTTTTTGGACTCTGAGGTATTTCTAAGGCATTAACAAAGGGAATGCCGTTCAATGAAGAATTACTCTCCTTGTTACAAGTTAGTATTCTTAAATAATATATTCTTTATGATACTACTCTATGTAGTCTTATTGTACTTATTCAAGTTTAAGATGATGCTATTTAGCCTGTTGGTCACAGTACTATTGTTTGAAGACAGGCAACTTTATCAACTTTATTACTCCTTCAGAAAGGAAAACAAATTGGAGTTTAATCTCCAGATTAACTTTATTATTCTAAGAAATAGGAGGTAAGGCAGAATGTAAAAACTGACAATTAAATCAGATCTTTTTTCCCCCCAGTATCTGTTAAATATTAGCAACTATATAATGAAAAATACTTACATAGGAAAATATTTAAGATATTACTGGACATAAGACCAAGAAATCATAATTGCTTATGTGCATTCTTATTTTAAATATATAAACCTAAAAATAAAATTTACGTAAAAATACAAATATTGCGAAGAAGAGTATAAATTTTAAAGATGGACAGATAGGGAGGCAGAAACTTGGAGCTTTGAAAATCTCTTTTGTCATCTGCTTGGACTCTAACAACATTCAAGGCACATCCTGAATAAAGTTGTCAGATGTGTTAAGATCACAGTACTATGAGAAATACAGACTCCTATTAAACTCTTGTTTTACTTGAGTTGGGTTCAGTTCAGTATTTTTGTTTCTGGGGCATGATTTCTATCAGAAGAAAAATATTTCACTGTCTTCTAGAATTAAAAGAGATTTATAGATTATTATCACCACGATAGATGCATCCAGTTTGAAATATTAGCTGCACTGGAGTTTCAATTGTATCAGTGATAAACTATGTAATACCTACAATTTGTGAATGACTATATTTTTGTTTAGGGAGTGCAGCTTAAAGCAGAACTCCATAGTTAATGAGCTCCAGGCCTTCAGCAGCAGGTAGGCTAATGAATAGAAGGGCAAGGTTGTCTAGACTGGGATGCCTCAGCTGCTTTTTGTAACGAGAAAGGCTACATCCTGTCCCTTAGCCTTGCAGTAGATTCTGAGGTCCATGAACAAAGCAGCGTGGTTCTGCATGCAGGGAAGCCGTAGTACTGGGACTGTGCCAGCCATTTGTATTCCTGGTTTGCCCTGGGATTTATCTCCTTTTAGGCGCCTCTGAGGCCACTTGTGAAGTTTAGAAATGGCACCTCCATAATTGCACCAAAAATAGGTACCTAAACTGCAAATTAAAATCTCTGGTTTCTTCTGCATCCTTTCTGCTGAATATTCTTGCTGCTTGGGGTAGAAAATAATAATAATAAGTCCTGACACATCCAGATAATTAGATCCTGACACATCCAGATAATTAGATCCCTTTATAGATTTGAGATCA